ATATTCAGTTGACTTATCAGAGGTCAGAACAGGCCATTGACCTAAGATGACCCGGGTTGAACTCTTTGTTTTAGAAACATACTGCCTAGCGTAATCTTTATCGCTTATTCAAATGCAAAACTCAGAGCAATCTTGTATCATTTTGGTCACCAAGATCTCCAAAGGGTCAAACAAGGCCAATGACCTCAAATGGGCTAGCGACCTTTTGCTTAGAGACAGTTGCCTAGGTTCTGGGAGTGCTTGGAGACCAAACTGTAAGTTGACTTTGACTGTAAAAAGTGGTATCACACTCGTATGATACCAAGAAAAACAGGAGTAGCTAAATAAATATAAAGACTGGTGCTTTTCTCGCAAAATTGTGTAATCAGCTAAGCTGACTTAAAATCTCTTAATAGAGGTGCTCAAAGGGTGATATTCATCTGGTAAGTTTAATTTAGAAGACGTTTCTTGAACTTTTCACTCCTGCATTTACGGAGCGATGCAATTTAGTGGTCAAGTTTCCTCTGGAAAAAAGATATACGTGGAGTAAAATTCTCCACCAGGCCTTGCTGTTGTTTGCGCCAGGCTCTGCTTTCGTGGTGTGGTGGTGAGACCAAACAAATAGGGGATGCGTGAAAACCTTGCATTTGGCGCACAGCTGCAGATTGTGATGCATTTTGTAAACAAACCAAACTTAATGCGTGCAGGCGGCTGGGGTTGCTGGGATTCTTGGGCTTGGAGGTACCTGGCGCCCTTGCTCTGTGCATACATAGACATGATTCAGATGTAGGTGAGGCAGGACATAGCCATAGGTGTCCAGATTCTGTGGAGGATCGTTTAAGCTTGGTGGTTTCAAGTGAGCTCGGTTTTGGATGGCATCTGAAAAACTCGGGAAGGAAAATAGGGGTTGGGCATGTGCGATGAGACAATGTCAGGCAGGAGTGAAAAATTCACATAAAATATGGGGAAAAGGAGTGAAAGATTCCTCCTCATAGGGTATTGCTTTACACCCAAAGTCAGCAATTCTAGGACACTGCACCTCACGCAGGTCAGACGCATGGTCAAATATACGTAGGCCAAAATTCCCTGGCAGCAAACTCTAGGATCTTTCGGATTTCATCAAAGTTTTTCCGCGTGCCATTACCATAAGTCGTGAGACATTATCTTCCGTGCGTGAGCATCAACGCTGTTACTTAAGTTTTGATGACGTCATCTGGAAGGCAGTGCCACGCGTGGGACGGGCCTATCAGCACGCCCATACACGGTGACTGAGCTCGGACACGTATGAATCCAAGGACAGGGCGCTGTCAAAGACGGCACCTAGATTCCGCCTTTCCACACATGGTCGCAGCGCGGGATCACGAAAATCTTTGTTGAAGTCTGGAGGGGCGCATAAATCTTGACGACTGACAGAAGTTGTGTTCTGGTTGCTTGAGGAGATGCAATCGGAACCAGAAGCTAAGTGACGCTTTCCATGCGGGAGAGAAGTCCCATATGGCTTTCTTTCAGACCGCTCACCAAAATCTTGGCGTCATCTGCACATTGAAAAAACACGCGTGATTTATACGCACAAAGACTGGTCATTCGAGAAAAGTATGGAAATAAGTGGGCTGAACTGAAATGAACTGAACCGCTGAAGCTAGGAGACACCCATGTTGTTGGCGGGCGGCCGTAACAGCACTCTGCGTCCGTTATCAAGACACATACTATGGGTGCGTCCCTGAAGAAAGGCGGCGAACCAGGTCTCAATACCACGCATCTGCAGCTTCTGAATCAAAAGCTGGGAATCGACGTCCAAATTTGTACTTATATCAATAAGGCACAGAAGTGGAGCCTTTTCCCATCAGTGGCGTCAAGAATGTGGTCCGAGACCGACCCCAGCGCGGTCTCCGTCGACTAACGACGACAGAAAGCACGACGGGAGCATGCAAGGCGATGGTCGCAGCGTAGACAGTAGTAAAGCAGCCGTTGAGCGAGTCGCTCTGCCACTTAGGTAGCAATAGGAACGAGGGTATAGGACGGAAGGTGGATTGTCGGATGGGTTGCCGACCTCAAAGATGAGATGGATCAGGAAATGTTCCCAAGCGTCGGGGATATCTGAATGGAGAAGGCATGGGTTGACAACGTGAAGGATGACGTCACTGATAGCTGGGAAACCAGCCTTCAGCGTGCAGACACATAAACCGTCTAAATCACAGACAGCTGAGCTCCGCGTGCCAAGGACCGTATGTCTGGGCATCTCCCGGGTAACAGGCGATGGCGGAGACGAACAAACCCCCTCACGAGGGGGACACGTCGCTAAATCAAGCACTAGTCCCTATGACGACTCTGCTTCGGTGGCTATACGACGGCCACCTGAAAAAACTCGTTCAGCTGATCAGTTGTCGCGACTAGAGGAATCGACTGTCCGTCCCCCTTCCCAGCTACTGCCGTCTTCACGCGCCGCCGCCCTCTGGCCGGACCGCCCTCGTTGATATTCCTCTGAATCTCACTGCGCCAATCTCTGGGGACGGCGGATCGAACGACACGATTCAGCTCACGGTGCTCGTATGGGTACCGCCCTGTCCACGCCGATCGCATCGACCCCACTCTCCCTCTATCAGGGCGTGGCTGAAGCTACACCGCAATGCTTTTGTCCAGTTGCGCTTAGATGCATTGGAAACGGTATAAACTTAATTATTATTCATTAATAATTTGTAAGCGACCGCTACGCATGCCGAACGCAAGCTCACAAGTAATTGCATTGCCACAAATCGGCATCCGGTGCAAACTGTACATATATTACTTTCAATAAGATACGGAATATAGTTCGGCAAAATTTCCTTATGCCATTCATTTTCTCAGCATTGTGTTTGGGGTACGTTCAAAGACAGCTGTCCGGTCTGCACCGTTTTGTGTGGCGCACTGGAATATTTGGTGCATTCTCAAGCTCCTAACTTGACATGACTGATCTAAAATGTTACTAACATGTGATACCAGGTTTGGTACTATAGGCGCATCCAATGTTTTGTGTGTAACCTTATATGTCTATATGACATGCTCATAGGTTTATGTGATTGCTTGCTCCATTATGTGTGTCTTTAAATACAGTTCATGTGCGTGTTTCCATATTCATTTGCATTGGTGCTGGTATCGTTAGCTTCGGACAGTTGTCTTTAATGAATATGGGTAAAAATTGTCATCTGTTCTCTCAGGCAGCGTTTGACTGAAACAGAGCAGCGTTTTGCTCATGCTCATTGCTCATGCATTGCTCCGTTCATGAACGACATCGCTTACAATGCTGAGCTTGTTGCTCGGCGATAGCAGCATGCCGGGTTTAGATAGTAACTGATGGGTATGTGATGTATGCTGCATTTGATATTCTTCTGTGTTTTTGTATAAATGCAGTCTCGACATTTTGATTTTATTTCTGAGATCAGGGCGCACGTTAAGCAGGGCTTGTTGTATGATCAGAGATCACTCCATCCGATCGTGACTTTCCAGTTCAATGACAGAATCTTGATGCGAAGGCACGTGCCGTAAAACTCAACCTCCAGTTCAGTGACAGTCTTGAGGCGGAGGCACGTGCCGTAAAACCCAACCTCCAGTTCAATGACAATCTTGAGGCGGAGGCAGCAGCCCATTCCAGTCAAGAGTAAATAGCGAGCGCTGCAGCAGCTCGAACACACCGCCACGGGCACACGGGACGTGACGAGACGCACACCTCGTGCCTCGCGGGTAGGTCAGGAGGCAGGCGCTCAAACCTGCTGAGCAACATGGGCGGATCTTGCTTAAGGCTACAAAGCCCTCTTCCTTAAAATTGCACTATATACATTTTAATTTACGTTCACCATGCACAATTACGAAAGCATGAAACTGGTTGGTCCACAAAATTAATGCCTTACTACGCTGACATCCTGTTCATTCAAAAGGCACTGTAGTGAAGCATACGATATACATTCACAAACTTGTCTGTCCAAAAAATGACAAGAGATTTATAGGTGACCGACCGAAATCAAGCAGAAAATGACGTGTGTTTACCATGCATCGAATCGTTAGATGGAAAATTTAATCATTAACGCCAATTGACTAGCCGCCGAGCCTTCGTGCAAGCGTGCGAGGCGCACGGATGTCGAGCGCGCCACGTTCGACGCCGCCGCGGTGCTGGGCGGCACCGCCACGGCAGGACCCGACCGCCACAGTGTCTGACATCGATTGCCAACCCGGCGCGACGGGGTGGGGCGGGGGCGAACGTGGCGCGGTGCGTTCGGCCAGAAACGGCAGCGTCGTTAATGGCGTGCTGGAGCGGCGGGGAGCGGCGCCCGCGGCTGAGACGGCGGCGGCCGGCCCGGGCAGCCTGACGCCCCTTTGTCCGTCAGACGTCGATTCGTTGCCACGGTGCGGTCCGTACAGGACATTCATCCGTCGCCCCGTTCTCCAGCTCGAGGGCAGACTGCCGTCTCCGGTGCGGTCCGTACAGGACATTCATCCGTCGCCCCGTTCTCCAGCTCGAGGGCAGACTGCCGTCTCCGGTGCGGTCCGTACAGGACATTCATCCGTCGCCCCGTTCTCCAGCTTGAGGGCAGACTGCCGTCTCCGGCGGCGGACGCCGGGCACTGGAAGGTTGCGTCGCCTGCCTTGTACCAGGACGCTGACGTGGACGGCGGAAGAGGCGCTCATCTCATTCACCTCATTCCAGCTGCCACTTCACGGCCGTGACATAGTCGTAATGAGGTCATTAAAACTGCGTCGGAGTCGGCGGCCCGTTCTCTGACTTGGGGGCAGAAGGGCTACAGCCCTGCAGCCCGGTGGGAGCCAATGCACTCGCCGTTGATGGCGTAAACTTGTCGCCGAGTTATTTAGTCCTGGGTCGATGTGTGCGTGCTAGAGGAGTCCGCGAGTTCGCAGTGAGACGGAGGTGAGGAAGGTGAGGAATGGGAGGGGGGGGGGGGGCATACTCGCCCGTCGAGGACAGCCAACCAAGCGCCCCTGCGATGGAGAGCCGGTCGGATCGCACAGCCACCGGCGCGGCCATCTCTCACCTTGCCGAAGCTCCCCTTCCCGATCGCTCTCAGGACTTGAAAATGGTCGAAGTTGACTGCAACGAAGAAGAGGACGTTAAAACGTGCCAGGTCGGGAAGTCGGCGTGCATCACACACAAGTGTACCCGCATGGTGGAAGAAACAATTTTGCGACACGCAACACGTCCCGGCAACAGGGCGTTGACGATTCGCGGGGAGCGAGCTGTTGCTGAGTGAAGACGTTGAGCTTGACTTGGGGATTGCCATACACGTACGGCTGGTAATGGACTGTCAGTGTGACCCACTGCCAGTGTAATCCCACTCCATCACAGCCCCTCTGTCATTTACTGGTGATAGAAAATAGATCAAATGTTTTTACCACACTACACGCATTTAATTGCTGAGAGCTATGTGATGAGTAGGTATGTCTTGCGTCCTTGACACAGCTCCTTTTTCTGACATTTTGACTTTTCTATTATTTTTCACTGGCTGCGTAGCTTAGATAACCATTACGTGGGGGGGGGGGGGGGTAATGTAACTGCAACCAAAGGAATGCATCCATTTTTCCCGGTAATAAAACAAGCAAAGTTGCTACATGCGCTTTGTTTTGATTTGTGCGGCTCACGAAAACAATATATGGACGTTATTGGTCATTATCGACACGATCACATTCCGTATGGGAATAGTTGCTAAGCAGGGCTTACTAAAGAAACGAGGTCCGCCGCGCTTCCCTTGCCCATATTATGCTAATAATTTAAACGAAACTTCATCATCCCGGCTCATCTTCTCTTGCACAATGTTCTGCTTGTTTGTTTGACTGCACATGCTGTAATGTGGCGAGAAGCCGAGCAAGCCACTGCGAGGAAAGCTGTACACATTTACCGTATTTGGCAACACAAGCCTGTTCCTGCGTTTGACATGTTTGGACATTAGCATTGACAAGAGACATGTCCTGGAGCATGTGCAGTGTGGCAAATAGTGCACAACGAGGAGAACATCTGTGAGCATCTTAGAACCTACGTGGGTGCATTTTAACAACAAAAACTAGCCCTGCTCACAACGTACAACCCGTTTAAGCTACCTAGGAGACTTTCGTGGGCGATCCTGGCTTCGCCTTATTGACAGTTGTAGCAATGTGATAAAACTCGTTTGAAAAATGTTCTTCCTTATTGCCCAGCCAAAATGTAGAAATGTTGTTCTATAGTAGTTGTCCAGCAAATTTTGTCGACTAAAATTACTCTTAATTCCACTCTCCCAACCAGCCTGGGCCTACTTCCGCCTCTGCGTACCTGCGCTGGCCACCGTCGCCCGATGGTGGCCAGATCGTAAGCTACATAGGTGGGTTACATATTCGGTCGACCTCTGAGGAAAATGAAAAGGTAGCTCCTATGATATGATTGACTACCGATGAAGCGGAGAAAACTTTGCGAACATCTTACAGTATCTTGTGCGAAAGTGGCGAAAGCGGCGTTTATGCGGCAGAAGGATCGGCGTTTGTGCGTTATGAGGTATTATTTGGTTTGCAGCGTGGTTACAAATGATCCTGTTATACGGGATTTAACGATAATTCTGAGTTCATTGGTACCTCGCTTGCCTCAATAAATTGTCCGACGTGCTGATATTGTTGTCAGACTGTCGATGACGTTGCCATGAATGTTGTTGAGTGATGAAGCTAATACAATGCCATCATTTGGCGGGAGGCTTTGTGGTCAGCACAAGTTTTATGCTGCCTGTTTAAAGACATTTCATGACTTATATTGCAATCACTTGATTTCATATTTTAAAACTGAGCAAGTTGCTAAGGATGCATTTGAATAAGACAATACTAATAACCTTATCCCCAATTACTTTTATTTCCCAGGGTAAAGCTCAAAGTAAAACTGATGTACCTAAAAATAGCAGATGCACTTTAAGATGCTACAGACTGCTCCAGCTTCTTCCGAAGACTGGCGAACAAGCTTGCACAGCTAGTGACTAAGAATTATATTTTTGTATGAGCGTCTAACCTGGCTATCTCTGTTGGTAGCAAGTGCAAGCTTGCCTCAGCTAATTCTCTTGTTCTTGTTTGATAAGTTGTTTACTTTGTCACATGTTTGTGTTTCGGATTCACACTGATGCATTCAAGTGATAAATTTATCATTGGATGCATTGATGAAACTTGCTTATCATCTGTTTGAAACAGCACCATGACATTTTATACTCGCGGTTTATGATTTCTATACTGATCTCTCCATATAAAAAACCTGGCGGTTACATATAACAAACAATGGCTATGTCACTATGTAGTGATGCAACTGTCCGTCCCGGTGGCTCAGTTGCTTAGAGCGCCTGCATTCCGATCCGCCCACACGTGGCAGGGTGGGTTCAAGCTTTAGGGCGCTCGCTATTTGCCCTTGGCAGATACTGCCCGCGGCCGGCGGCAGCGGTCACGCTAAAAGGCCAGTTGACGTCAGAGGGCAGGACGGACCGTGCCGAGCATTGCGGCAAGTTAAGCTTTCGCCAATAATTCTGCCGTTGCCTGGAATTGCGCGATCGGATGGTGGGGGGTCAGGACTCGCACAACAAGCACTGCTTAGCGAGAGCGATGACCCCAGAAATCCATCCCTTCCAAGGGTTCGGATCAAATTTATGAGAACAAAACTGATGGATGTTAGTGGTTGCATCTGGTGCTCACAAATAATGGTACATTCTGATGCAGACAAAGCATGATATTGTGTTTACAATTGACACCGTCGTGCTGTGCTCACTTTTATTTTTCTAGTCCAGAACTAAACAAATTTGTACTCTGCAACCAAGAACAAAAATAAAATATCGTTAATTGATTCACAGTAATGACTGACTGACAGACGCTTGAATACAAGCGTGGTCCATTGTCTATAAGTTGGTTGATAACAAATGTCAACCTATACCAGGGTAGATTCAGGTACATGGTGAATGCCAGGAGGGTCGTATGAGAACTGGCAGTGCCTCCAGCTTGGGCATACACACAAGAAGGACGAGAACTTATTGCAGACTGCTGGAGCCATTTTCAGGTCACGTTGGTAATTTTGCAGCATCTTGAGTTGCAGCGCTCACGTTATTAACGCCAGTTTGTCCTCCCCGGACCGTAACACAGCAGCAATCATAGGGCTGTGCTGAATCTATACCATTGGTCACAACACTGTATATTCTATGGGATTATGCAGTGGCTATATAATTTCTCAATCAGCAAGTGCGGCAGACTGCTGTCCGGAGGCGGTCGCCGACTGCGGCCGGCTGTCGGAGGCCAGTTGCCGCTCACATTGCGGCCTGGTGCTGGCTGTACAGGGCAGTGCTGAACTGGCTCTCACCGGCGACTCAAACCGGTCACGCACGCTTGCGGCTGTCGTCCCTGCGTCATGTTGGCGACATCAATAACGCACGCACGCAGCTGCTGAAGAGCTTTCATCTGAAGTCAGCCGCAGAAGTGCGACCTGCTGGCGCTGTGTCGCGACGACGCGGGGATGGCCTGCCTGGCAATATGGCGCGGCAGCGTTGGCCGCCGACCGGATCCTGCCGGCGCGCGGCAGCGGCCTCGGCGCAATATCCGCGCTGGGGGTGGCCGCGCACCTGCACCCGCACCCTCACCCTCACCCCACCCGCAACAGGCACGGCTCTGGGCACTGCTGAGCGCCTCACCGCCGCAGCTGCGCCCTGAACTATCAGAAGCCGCTGTTACCACCGCCACCACCGCCGCTCGGCGCCTGGAAACGGCCGCCAACGAGGTGCGCTTCGGCCGTCACGTCCGGCCTGGCCCGTTAAGAAACCTGGGCTACTGGAGATCAACCCCATCGCCGCTAGCCCAACACTGGTGAAGTTGCAGCCATGCCTCGTGCGGATAGGTGTTGGACCATGTCCGGTCTTCGCACGGGAGCTTCGTCGCCTGTCTTAAGTCCGGTGCCCACCATATGTGTCCTGCGCCCGTCGCCGACGCGGCGGGGCGCATGACAGGTAGTGATCGCACAAGCGGAGCGTTGGAGCCGTTCTCAGCTGCAGATCTTTTTGCTGTAAGTAAGTAGATTGTCTGGCCACGGGCTGCTAAAGGACGCGTTCGAGCGCGTGGAGGGCCGAGATTAAAACTGTGCCACTAAATAGTCCCCACGCGCCGTTGGCCTGGTCACCCGAAATTCGGCCGAGGACAAATCCTCCACCAGGGTGCTCCACAGTCGGTGGGTCTTCTCTCTCATGCCCAGCAGCTTGCCAGTGACAACATCCACTTGGCTGCTGTCCGGACCGCTAGTGCCATCTGAGCGCGTGTGCTGATGGACGAGTCTCAACCTGACATGTCCGGAGGTGGACCGGGTGGTCCAGAGCCAGCTGCTCACCGACGAGGCCACAGCGGCTCAGCACGCCGTTCCGCGCCGGCCAGACTGCGCTGTTGCCCTGTGTGACCTGGTGACGGCGCGGCTGAGCCGGCTGGACGCCGAGCCGGAGCGGCGACAGGCCGTACGCTGTCGGCTGCTGGGCCCTGAGCCCGGCGTCCGGCCGACGTATCTATCCACTTGCCGCCAGAGACACAGCACACAGAACCCGCCAGCACAGAAAGCAGGAATGCAAACGACATCCGACCGCCGGCCCAGCGTTCGCCACAGACTGCTGTCCACCCGCTCGGTCTTCGAGAGCTGCTTGAAACGCGTGACAGTATAACGTTTCGGATCACAGGCTGCCTGGACCGCCAAGCAGCTATCTAGATTGTCAAAAAAACAAACTGTGGATAACTCCGTTATTGCCTCGATTTCGCGAATCAAGCAGCTTTTCATACGCAGTGCTGGAGACATGTAATGTGTTTGTCGTACACGCATTAGGTGGATTTTCGTGCCTGGACTCAGGCTTTCGGACAATGCCAACGTTCTTGCAAATGTTTGTGCCAGGTGTGCGATAAGCGACCTATGGTTGTCTTGAATGAGAACACAGATTTTCAACTTTGCCGTGCGCTTAGCGCATAGCGCATAGCGACGAGATGCGCTATGCGCATTGCGTATGCGCATATGAAAGTATGCGCATTTCAACATTGTCGTGTGCATAGCGCAAGAGAAGCGCACGAGCCGGACGAGGCACTAGGCGGCAGCCAGACATGCAAGTAAACAGAAAGAAACGTGAAGATGCCTTTCTTTCGTTCTAGGTGGATTAGAACTGTAATAATTCATTTAGCCTTATGTAAATATCTAAATCACGTGGCCATTTGGGAAACTCATCGACGAGAGCAATGACGATGGCTAGCAAAGGTCGCACTGGACCTCGTATTGTAAGGTAGGAGGCGTGCAAACGCTGTCCCCTACCTTAAACCTAAACGAGAAGGCGAGCGACTTCGAGCCTCGATTTCAGAATTCCTAAACAACCAGATCAAGAAGCCTGGAACAATCTGGCTTGTTCGAGCGACTACGTTCCTCCCAAATTGCTGATGCATATAATTTTGGTTGAGCGAATGCTGCGTGCTTAAGCCTATGATCGACGGCCGAATAATCAGTGTTTCTAGTAAAATGTTGATCTCATTTACTGCCTCGCCGCAATTTATCAATATTTTGAGATGCCTGTCAGCGAAAAAAACCCTGAATGTGACATGGTGCCTATCTAAAGCAGTTACTGGCAGTTTTACCTGATCTATTACTTCATGGAGCCCATAAGGATAATGACACATTTTACGTGAGGTGGGGTAGCTGCCCACCTTTTACTCTTTGTATTCGTTATATTCTTCTTTTTATTTTCATGGCTTTGATTCCGTTATAATCATGTGTCAATGATGATTTGTTTTCACCTGCCTGAGCTACTGCACTACTGTATATAATTCATTGTCAACGAATGTCTCAGTTTAAGCCTTGTGATATTTAACCGTTCCTAATTGAAAAAAAATATTTAGCGGTTATCAGGGCCCTCAAGAACAAATTTGGGCCCAAAATGAATGGGGGATAGTACAGCAAGCACGGCAGAATACACATCCCTCCCCCCCCCCTAAGTATCATACCGTGCAAGCGTCTCCCAGGAGAAACCCTGTAGTTTACCTGGCGATTACAACTGTCAAGTATCCACCCCGCACCCTAGACATACCGCACGGAAATACTGATCCAAACAGGAATTCAAACTCCACACACCACGCATCGCCCCCCCCCCCCCCGCTCCTCCCACCTTAAAACCCCCTCGGAAACAATAAGCCCACGTACTTCGATCTCGACAACAGCTGGTTTAGAGATGGAAGATTGTTGGGTAATAGCCCGGGAGGTAAAAGCTCAACAGTGAGCTAAATCACAACGGCATCCGGGCCTCATGGTCCACTCGACGTGAGCAAATCTGTGTCTTAAACCTTCTCAACAACAAATCATGGCCGCTGCCTAGGATCATTAGCATATTTCATAGTTGCTTACAACGCCGCAATTAAAATCTCTCAAGATGGGACTTGTGGAAAACAAACTACTTGTGGTTCCTGGCGAATGGCTATGTATTGCTCCAAGCTACCTGAAAGTTCCTTTTCTGTAACATGTTAACTAACTGATGTGTAAAATCTAGCAAGAGGACCAAATGGACCAAATGGAAAAAAAACGAATGAAAAGATGACCAAATAAGCCACCGACCAAAAGTCACATGGGGTGGCTTAAACGAGTTGTGCCTTGTGAACAGGGCTGCTAAGACAACCTGGCGTAACGAACAGGTCATCATAGCACCGAAGAACTTCGTTTTTGATTACAAGAACCGCACACTTTTGGAGAAGTAGTGTGGAAAGACAATAAATGACCTGCCAGTCGGTAGAGAGTCGGTGACCTGCCATGTAGGCAGTCGGTGACCTGCCAGTCGGTGGACATTCGGTGACGTGCCAGTCTGTAGGCAGTCGGTGACCTGCCAGTCAGTGACCTGCCAGTCAGTGGACAGTCGGTGACCTGCCACTCGGTGGACAGTCAGTGACCTGCCAGTCAGCGGACAGTCCGTGACCTGCAAATTAGTGAAAAGTTGGTGACCCAGAGCCAGAGGATGCTATTAACTACTCATGGCGGTTTGTGGGCAGCCTGGAGCCGCCATAAATGCCATTACACCCCTGACGCTCAGGGAAGGCGCGTGATCATGCTCCTACCATGCCTGGACCCCAAACTCTGCAATGGCGACCATTACGACAACGAAGCCAAGGGGGCCCACGTCTTCATCCCAATAATCTAGCTGGTCCCATTACACATGCCATTTGACTTCAGACAGGTCCAATTTCCTGTCGAGCAGAGCAACACCGTAACGCAGAAATCAAACTGTACCAGAGCCGCAACGTACACCGTTATCCATTCCAACCTAGCCCATCGCCAACTGTGTTACTGAGACTAGCGTTTTGCTTCTGCAGATTGCATGTTACCATTTCCAGTTGACTTCTTTGACGATAAGCATCCGGTGGCATAGTTTTTTGAGAGTGTATTAACTGTTTTGCTCCAGCATGTAATTTGCAGCCGGAAATGTCGTTGGAACGTGTCCAACTATTAGAAATAAGTACAAATACGAACACGCAGGTATCTGGGATGCATTTCGGATCATAAACCAGATTACGACTACGTTAAATAGCAAGTTTTTCGCAGTATAACACTCTCCATTACCGGAGCATCGCCAGCATTCCTGCTAGTTAACAATACAAAGGTATTGGGATACCACGAGGGATACAAGGCTAGATACAAGGATATTAACTGCGATGATATGAAAAGGATCCTCACACAGATACAAAACATACAGTCAGTGCATTAAAACCAATATGGTGAGATATTAGTTACATTGGTGTTAGAGCGTGCAAAACATACAGTCAGTGCATTAAAACCAGTATGGTGAGATATTAGTTACATTGGTGTTAGAGCGTAATTCGTCGTTTCGTTTCTGACACAGGATAACTCCACCAATGAGCCATTCGTTAAGGTGCCTGCTGTTCATCGGGCAGCAGTAATTGGACGCCGCTCGTTCTGCTTGAAGGAGGAAGGCCCCATCCCACAACACTAAGCATTTTGTGCACAACTCTAGACAGAAGCACGAGGTTGCCGCAGCCAAATGTCCGGTGTCCGCCCGTCGCTGATTGGTGGGCCATCTGTTACTTATATTTGAAAGGCCAAACGAGATACGCATCTCATGCTCTAACGGAGCGCTCTCAGGCCTTTACAGGACACTCTCATCTCATCCTCTCTCTCGCCTTTTGCCATCCTCTCCATCTCCCCCTGCCGTACCCGCGAGCCCCACGCGCCACGCCTAATCTGTCGAGTCGCCGCCCGACCTTCAGACTCGGGGCAGATGGCGTCTGGCTCACTGTGACTGACCGCATCAGTGAGCGGCGACGGCCCCTCTTCGCCGGAGCGCAGCGCGTCAGTCCACGCCACCCCGCCCCGACAGAGACCATGAAGCTGTATTCGTTCTTCATGAGCTCGTGCGCGTGGCGCGTGCGGGTAGTGCTGCAGGCCAAGGGTGTGGAGCATGAATACGTGGCGGTGAACTTGCTGACACAGGAGCAGCGTGACGCGGCGTTCCTGCGGGTGAACCCGCTCGGCCAGGTGCCCGTTCTCGTGGACGGCGACCTCGTGCTGACGCAGTCGCTGGCGATGCTCGAATACCTGGAGGAGAAGTACCCGACGCCGGCGCTGCTGCCCAGCGAGACGGCGCAGCGCGCCCAGGTCCGCAACATCTGCGAGATGATCAACTCGGGCATGCAGCCGGTGCAGTCGGGCGCCTTCCGCCGGCTGAACGAGATCGGCGGCGAGGGCGCCGGCCTCGCCTGGGGTCGCGAGGCGATCGAGCGCGGCTTCGAGGCGCTGGAGGCCGTGCTGGCCTGCTGCGCCGGCCGCTGCTGCGTCGGCGACCGGCTGAGCCTGGCCGACTGTTGCCTGGTACCGCAGGTGTTCAACGCGCGCCGCCGCTTCGGCGTCGACGTCAGTCGCTTCCCCACCATCAGTCGGCTGCAGGATGCGCTGCTGCAGCGGCCCGAATTCGTTGCCTCCCACCCGGCTCGGATGCCAGACTGCCCGGCCGGCTTCTCGGCGGACGCGCCTGGCCAAGGTCGTGCGGCGGCCACGGCGGCAGCGCAGTGAACGAGAATGAGTGGCGGCGACAGGAACGGCGTGTGCGGTGAAGCCCCCCGCAGCAGCGACGGGGACGAGGCTAGCTGACATGAGTGATGCCCACAGTTGTTGTTGGTGTTTGGAACAGTTGTGACCAGTTGTCCCCATAGTTAGTGTAGTGAACGACGAGATTGGAGGCATGTTGTGTCCGTGGTGTAGCCCTCGGGCCAGCGACTGTGAACGCCGCTGGTGGTCTCTGCCCGCACAGCGCCGCGCCCTGCAGCCAGCCGGGCGTGCGCCACCGGCAGCAATAGGAAGCGTGCGGTGCAGGGATATGGTACATAAACATGCTTCATTCACAAGCTAGTTTGGAAACCCCACAAGTCACTAGGAACTCTGGTGCCTTTACATATCAAAACAATTGACTGCATGAAGAGGCTGTCTGACAAACATGGGAATGAAGCTATGACGCTTTTTTCTGATGCTTGCCGCGTGTAAATGCGCAGGTCTTTACAAAGGCAACGATAGGTACTGCAGTCCAGTTGAAATGGAGCCATAGCCCTGGTGTTTTCCTCTCCAGCAGTTCGAAATTACGATACTACCCCATGCACTGCAGCGCATTTTGCCTAAGATACGTTTCTGCATTTCGGCGTGGTTGTGATCCGGAAAATACGAAAGGCCGAGATATGGCCGATCAGCGGGGCAGTTAGGCCGCTAGTCTGACATCGCCGGTGCCATGACCCTCGCTCTAGCTCCGCCCACACAACGATCATTTCTCGGCATGTGGTATAAACGGAGCCACGTCTAGAGACTGATCGGATGGGGCTCCTCCTGACATAAATATGCCCCAAGGGCTCGCGTGGCACCACCTGCTTTAATGGTCGTAGCAGGGATCTGACCACGAATAACGCGTGCAGGAGTGAGCCGACAGCACGAAAACGTCCATCATTGCTACGCTTGTCTGAGCTCAGGCTTATGGATTGGATATGTCATGTTTTTTTTTAGTTATTTGCATTTTCGGCTCAATCATGTTCGGATGTGAAAGAAATCTGTGCTGTGAATCAATTCATATCTTAGATTATTTATGTAATGCAAGGACGTAGATCAAATGAGCTTTCTTAAAGTGCCGAGAAAATTCGTTAGTTCTTGAGCCTCCCGGGCTAGCAGCTCGCTCTTATCTCCACACTAACATGCTTTTCACCACTATTTGTACGCCCTTGCAGCATGCAGTTGCAGTATTGCTGAATTACGGTACTTAGGAATATTTATACGTCAGTCGTTGGAGCGTGAGTGGTTTTCTGTCTTTTCAATCTGAACGGATTTAACATGAAGTGAAATAACGCTGAGCGTAATTGGAAGAAAAAACGAAGCATCAAAGCATCACCATTGCGATGGGTCTCAAAAGCTTGACGGGATCCATGTCTTTCAGAGCAATAGTTTGGACCAGCATTGATGGCGCAGTTTATCTTAAAGGAATTAAACCTATTGCATTTTTGTGGCCAATAAATGTTCTTCATATTTCAATATTTCCGTGGAAAATATTCAGCTTGCTATCAATAGCACCGACTCATTTCCACGCAATGACTCGAATCACATAAAGTTACGTGCAAGCAGACATATGTGATTCGATTAAACCGTGTACAGTTGAGTACCAAAAGGAAAAGTTCGTGGTATCCCCATTGAAATGGCAGCCAACAGCTACATAGGTCAGATCAACAGCCACGCACTTAACCGGACCGAAAGCAGCGCTCCAAATCATGGCAAAACAATCAACCGAACTCCATTATATTCGTAGCTATGACGGTCTTTCTTTGTAACTTTTCCTGCCAAATATTTGTGTCTATATTGCCATTGCAGCTCAAGGCGACACGAAGTTACACAGCGCTTCACT